ACAAGGAAAATCTCAGATTCTCCTGAGATTTTGATATAGGGACAAGCCATCAGCAAATTGTATCTCCTGCTTCCCAAGCAGAAAATAGCCAAGAAGAGAATATATTCAAATATCATTGCACACACAAAAGGCTATATTTGACAATTTAACTGTTTTGCTTCTGCACCCTGGGATTCTTCTTGGGATTTGATTTCAGTAAAGATAAGCATTTTGTAAAGATGATAACTCCCTTTGCAGCTTGAGTAGTGCACATTTACTAGTCTATGACTCTAAGATACTGGGTTAGATTTTTGGCAGTGGGATTTATGAAACAATTTGCAATATGGTTTTTATCATCAGGTAGATATCCTGAATCAGATTCTTCTCCTTGACCTGGCTTCCTATGAGACATTTATAGCTTAGAGACTTCCCAGTTAGTGTACATGACAGCTCTAATAGAAGGAATATTTTATTCTACGGTTTCAGCCAGTCTGCATTCTTTTTATTTTTCCAAGACTATCCAAAATTCTATTAGGAGTTTAGAGACAGGTTTTTGGAAAGTACTTGGTCTTCAATAGGAACAGAATTAACTGGGTGAAGGCTGCATTTTGCAAACATTTATCTGAATCGCTGATGGAAGGGTCTGCAGTTAGAACTAGTCACAGGGGTGAAATATCTCATATTTCATATTTTCTCACTTAAAGCAGGATTTCTTGCATTATATCTTGTATTATTTAACCATAAGAGATGCAGGGTCCCCCTGTAGCTGGCAAAGAGAAGCCAAGACTTCCAGAACAGAGCAAATAAAGTCTGAAAAGGTGGGATAAATCTTCCTCTGAAGGTCCCTGACTTTCTTCTTTGGCTACACAGAGCACTCAGATGACATGCATGATTCTTAGGCAAGTAATTCTAATGCTAAAATTACAGCTGAACACTTGGTTATTCTCACAGAGGTCTCAGGAAACCCATTCCCAGGAATGTATCTTTATATTTCCCAGGTTGTCCACTTCAATAGTTGAAGGATAGAGATGATAGATCCTTTCATTTTGTACTGTATGCAGAGCTTGAATTATTTTACACTGTTAAAGGTGTTCAGTATGAACAGCTCTGGGAACTAATTCATAGTAATGCCTGGAGTACTGTAATCTGCCCCATGCAAAGTAGAACAAGTCATTCTCATTAGGGTTGATATTTTTCCATTAAGTTCTTTAGTGTTCTTACTCTGTAATTGAGTTCTTCAAAAAGAAATATAAAGTTAATATTATTTCAACCATGAGAAAATTAGTATATTAATTCAATATCCTTTAACTTTAAGTCACTTAACTGCTAATGTAAATGCATGAAAATAAAACCAGATGCAGCACTTCAGCCTACGGGATATTGTGATCTGCAATTGCATGTCCTTCTGTGGCATGAGAAGGTAAAGTCTGATGGAGTGTAACACAAGCCCCTTCTCAGACCACTTACTGTGGCTTCCTAATTTTGTTTTTGTAACTACTATGGCACAAAAAGTCAAGAGAGATAGGAGAGAAGCAGCTGTGACATCAAAGCTAATAAATGGTATTACACATTATGACTCCTATTCTCTAAGGACTGTATGGAAAGTCAGGTTCTGGAAGGCTTAAAAGCTTTATTTTCCCCAGTTATGATATAGTGATTGTGTGACATTTATTACAAAACCACTTATCAGAGAAATTAGTTCAGTCTCATTATCTTATTTTGTGGTTATATAAGCTAAGCCAAACAGGTAGAGAGATTTTTTCCACATTATTTTGAATGGGAGAGCAACAAGTAGAGCTCAATTGCCTGAACCCACCCAAGGGACTCCAACATTAGTCTTCTCTATCATACATGATGGACATCTCAAGATTACTTCTATTAAAATTATAGAGCTATTTGCCCAAACTCACCCTTAATTGAAGAAGAATGGATCTGTGCTCTGGAAAGCTTTTCTCCCATTATATCTTTATTTACCCAAAGAAAACCTTTCTTCTTAATGGAAATTTGACCTGAATATTGGAAAGAAAATATCCATGCAAAATATTACTTTCAAATAACAATTTAAGTGAATATTACTGTTTGGTGTTTTGATAAGAGTCATAGAATTTATAAAGATGCCTATTTAAAAATATTGTTTACTGATACTCAATGAACAAAGTGAATGAAAGTTCTTCTTTTGTCATTTCAATTACACCTCCTCTGTAGTTTGTCTTATGAGGGACAAGTGTGCTTTAAAAATACTCTGCCTCAAAACAGCTTCAATTCTCTTTTCATGGAAACAATTTTAGAAACAGTTCCACCAAAAGAACTGGGCCCACCAAACCAATATAGAAGTGATGAGAAATGGGTAGTAGGTTGAAATAATTTCTGAAAGACAAAGCTTATTTGATGAATGAATTGCTAGACCTCAACCCTTTCACAAAAACCTGTCCTCTTTGTGGGCATAATTTCATCAGTGTATCTGAAAAGATCTGTCTTCTGTTGAAATGACAAACAAAAGGTCTACCTAAGTAGAACACTTTACAGAGCAAGAGGCTAAACCATGCAAGAACATGCGTGGTCTCTCACATGAACTGTTAAGATGAGAAATTTTTATTCCCTGGAGGAATGAAAACAATATGACAAAGACTCGTGTTTGCAGCCAGGAATGTAATCTAAATAGCAATAGACTAAATTTACTTGTAATATAATGTTTCTATGAGATCCAAAACTACAACCCAGAGTTAGAATATTTTGGAAGTTTAACTTTTTACTATCTGGCACTGGCACTTTTGTTTATTCCTGTTGTGACACTGACCCTACATTGGCACTGATCCATGCTGTGCCTCTGCCTCATATAGCAGCCAGTTACTCACAGTCCTTGCCTTTTGCTGCATCCACAGCAAGCTTTAATCCTATAAGCAGAGCCCCAAGAGCAAACATTTGTAGCAAGACAGTGCCATGCAAGAGTAGGAAGGTGTGATGGTGTGGACACCACTTCCAGGTCTGTTCACACCAGTTCTGGAGACAAAGATCCCTTTTGCTAGCCCTGGGTATTTGCCTATACAGAAAGACTTTAGTGTTAAAAGTCATGGCCCCTGTAAGAGTGAAGGGGATCCAGAGTTCACATCCAGTCCAGATGAGTAAGTTTGCAGGAGAGATTGGATGAGGTCTGCAACAGAGCAGTTGCTCCACACCTCTGAACTGCTGTGCAGATAATGGCATTAAACACAATGCCTTACAATCAAACCCATAATCATCTCTCTTCAGTTTAGCTGCTACTAGACATCTAGAAATAAACAAAGCAAGATTTGCAAGACTCTGCAAATGTTCTGTAGAGTAGATGCCAATCCTTTACTCAGCCGCAGGCCCTGGATCCCCAAACTATGCTTGTTTAATTATCAGGAATTCGTTTCACCACAAGAGTAAGCAAGCTTCTGTTCTTCAATCCCAATTAGGTTAGGGAAGTTTCCATCACAAAAAACCACTTTATCTTGAGACTGCTTCAGGGAACGGCAAAAGCTGATGAGCAATTATTTGATTATTGTGACATGAGGGTCATCTTTTTGCTTTATAGGTGATGAATAACTAACACAATGATGTGATCACTCATTTGGACCATTAGATGCAGCCATGAAGCAAACAAAGAAATAATGCTCATCAGCCATCAGTGCAGTGTCAAATCTAACAGCGTTATGATATCACTTTTCCAGGGAAGCAAGAACATGATTTTTAAACTCTTCTCAGAGTCTCAATTTTAGTAGTGATTAATTAATCTTAAGGGCAGTGTTTCAGCAGCTTGATTTTTGTTTCTGGGTAGACTTTGCATGACAAGAAAAAGTTCCACTCTTATTAGTGGTAGCACTTTGGCTGCTAAAACTAAAAGATTATCTAATGTATTTAGTGAAATGCATGCACACAATTTATACATGTTTTTAAAAGACAGTCCAGATGGAACTATGAAATAGTCATTGCTTTTCATTTACATCTTTAGATATAGTTACCTCTCTCAAGCTAGGCTGAGAATATATATGATTACATAAAGAAGATGACTGGCATAGGGTATGATGCACTAGCAAGTAGTATATCCTAAAAGGATTTCTATAGCAAAACAGCTGGTGTGATAGATTAGAGATTTGAGCAGAAGAGAGCACTTTGGTCTTTACTCTGGTCCATGGACCAGAGGTCTGAATGTAGCTGGAGTGTTGCAGAGCTGGCAGATGAACCTTCAGGTTCAGTTTTAGGCTGCAGAAGTCCAGGAACCACCCTGTGATGTGACCCACTGCACAATAGGTGGGGACAAACAGAGGATTTTCTTTGAAGGCACACTCCTGATTCAGACTAGAGCATTACTATTTGCTCCCATCTTGCCATCCGTTGCACTAACAGTTCTCTTAAACAAAGTATTAAAACAAGACAAAGACTGGCAAGGACTTCTATATTTAGCAAAAATAAGTAGCTGATTTAGCACATGAAAAGCTTTATTAGCTCTGAGGAAGTACATACATTTCATCTGAGTTAACCCCAGTGTTTTTACTGAAGGCCAGATCCTGAAGCCTCTATTCACAGCAGCTTTTTCTTTGAGAGGTCCTATTTAAATCACTGAAGTTATTTTCTGTGGAAAGAAGTCTGTTGCTAAATGTATGTAAGCTATACTAATATCTAAACTCCAAGAAGAAAAGAGAGAAAAAATGACATAATGTGTGACATTATTTTTAAAAACACTGTACCAAAGTATGACATCAAGCCAATGACAGCAAGACTTTGGAACTTTCTTAATCTGCATAATATTATAGACCGCAGAAGTTATTATTTTATTGTTATTCCAGCAAATACATGTAGTGAGACATGTAGTTGATTTTACTGATTTATTACTAATAGAAAATGTTTCCCCAGACCAGAGAAAAAAATTTGATTAAAAAACCAAAGATACAGATCTTGCTGAAATCATTGGTAGCAAAGATATAGTAAAGATTTGGTGTAAGTCAGCAATTTAATCTCTTTAAAACAAATTATTTTTTAAAGTATTATGTGTTACTCACGTAAGTCACTGAAGCAGGATTTGCTGTGAAGCATGTGATGGAAGAGCTTGCACAGAGACAGCTCCACAGGGGTTAAATTCTGGCAGGTACACTCCACACGCAGCATCGTGCCCCAGTTTCCAATGTAGGCTGCTTTGCAATCAGCGCTTGCAGAACAGGGCATGTCACCCTTGATTAACATTTCCAAACAAGCTTCATCTTCATAGCACCTTTTTGTCACATGTCTCCAACACTTTGACCGAAAAGTTGAGTATTTTTTCCTGGTGGAAAAAAAGAAGTAGACTATGACAGTCTAAAAAAATCTGTGATTTCCCAAAAAGATATTTATGGATCATCATGAAAACAAAGTGTGTTCTCTTAAGCCTTAAAAATCCTAATATTCAGTAACAGATAATTTGTACCTAATTGGTTTGAGTGAAATCTGCAAAATTGTAATTTGAGGAAAAACCTGGTTTTACTGAAAATGTTTTTAAGAAAAAACAACTGGACTTCTAATCAGCACCTGAGGATATTTTTCCCAGAGTACAGCAAAAATCAAAACCAATGGTCTCAGATTGTCGGATAAGAAATGCGGATAGAGGAATTGGATCAGTCATCACAATGAAACCACATCAGGTGCTGTTCTAGTGGATCAGTTTGTTGGGCAGTGTGAAGGAAGAATGAATATTCAACTTATTTTACATAAAATAATCCACATCCAGTGCCAACCCCTCCTCCCTCTGAATGCTAACAAAAACCAAAATGTTCAAGGCTCAGAAAAAACTAGAAGTAATTCAGTTGACCTTAAAGATAATTTGATAGAAGAGATAAATTACAAGAAGAATTAACTTGTTTCCCAGCTCAGTAATCTCAAATTATTTTAGTTTATTTGCTCTTAGGATTGAATAAAATTGGCCTTTAATGCCAATGTATGACAACAGAAAACATGTATTAAAAGTTAACTAAGAAATCTGTAGATATTAATTAGAAACCAATTTATCCCTTATATTAAAAGTTAGAGAGCAATAAACTGTTATATATTTGACATTAATACATTAAAAAATATTTCCTTAATCATAAATTTAGACTATTAATTTACAGTTGATACTGTGTAGCTGTAACAAGCAAGTCACATGGGAAAACATGAACTGTTTCAATACCAGCTAGGACATTATTGTAAATATTTTCATTAATCAAGCAAAGGTTTCAAAGCAGATTCCACCTCTGTGCTAATAGCATTATTTTTATCCACCTCCTGATGTATAGATATGGCTAGCCATAATTAACACACTGATTTTGCTATTTATATGCACTTATTGTCACTGCTAGGAAACATTAATGTTCCCAAAAATAATGGGCCATTCAGCAAGTCTCCATTTTGATATTACATGTGTACACATGCACAAACATACATTTGTAGCCCAATTCTTCTTGACAGAAAAAGGGACAATTCCCACTGACGTCAATCTGAACAGTCTGCACGGAACTGAAAGCTTCTTTTGGCCTCCTGGTTTGTTGACTGAGGGTTAATTTGAGCACAGCTTTGAGGTAGAATTCAGGTCTAATCCATAAAGAAACGCTGAAAACCAAAATGAGCCAATTGACCAGGCACCAATGGTGGCAATTAAGTAGAACTACAAATATGGGCTAATCCTGTGGCATGTTTTCTAAAATAAAATCAAATCTGAAAACTGCATTAATCTTCATGAGTTTGGAGGTCTATGCATGTTTCAGGGCAGCTTTCTTCAAATATAAGTATGCTTGAGATGAAAAGATTAAGACGGGTTTTGTGAACAGGCCAAGCTGGTTGTATGGCCAGACTGCAGTGGAAGAGGTAATTACTTTAACCAAACAAACTTGGTATGGTCTGCTGCACAATTTGTGCAAACTGCCAGAGGGCAAAGGTACAGACTGGCAGACGTTATCTGAAAAAACTGGTAATGAAAATACGCAATGGCTTAGTTTGTCCAGCAGAAATGGTATTAAGAGTCATGAAAAAGGCAAAAGCGAAGTCTGCACTAGATTCTAGACCTTCCTGAAAATAAACTTTTTAAAAGTTTACTTATAGAATTACTTGTGGAATTACCACAGCTCATGCAGACATCTGTGAAGATGTCAAACACAAGTGATAATGTACAATAGATATAGTGCAGAAAAGAAAAAAATAGCTATAGATGAAATACATGGCATATACGTAAAGATTATTTGATGAAATCCTTATTCACAGGCACATTATTAGGCAAAATCTTTCTTCTACTTACCTGCACAATTCATTCTTTTCACACAGGTGGATTACATTCAGACATGATGGGGGTGGGACTGCAGTAACTGCACAGGGCTTGCCATGGAGAAGTTCCTTTGCTCTCTGACAGGATACATCAGGCTGGATACAATCACAAAATGTCATCATTTGGGCAACTTCAAAAGGCATATTTTGATAGAAGAATCTTATGGCTGCTTGACACTCTTCCATGTTGCACTTACTTACTGAGCAAACCCTAAGGTACAGGGACAACTGTTTGTTACATACTTCATCTTCAACACACTCCTTGTTCACATCCAAACAGGTTCTGTTTGCTGTGTATGCTAAAAAGAATAACAGTTTTTAAAATGAAATCACAAGAATACCTTTCTCAAGTGATGACTGGCAGTCATCCTGCCTGCAACATTCCCATGAAAAACAAAATGATTCCCCAAAAATCTGATACAGCTCTTCCAGCATTTCCTCTTTTAAGACCATTGTGTGATCTTCATGATTCTCCTTTCCACTGCTTGGCCCTCATAAGCAACCCTCCTGCAAGTTTCTGCCCTTGCCAGTTAAATAAGGGAGCAGAAAGTGAAAACTGGTAAGATGGAAGTTTCTTCATGGTCTGTAACAGCTTCTGGAGGCTACTGGCTACTGGATATCTGAAACTGCTGAAATCTCCAGCATGTAGTCGTATGCTAAGCTATATAATAGGTAATGAAGAAGAGAGTATAAATGGCATTTCTGTGCTTTTAAAGCTATTTTAGGTATTTCTACCCTATGCTATAAACTTTCCAAAAATATCTATATAATTCTGACCCTAAAATGTTTATAGGATAAGATTTGCCTCTGTAAATTTAACTGGATCAGGGCTGTTACCGGACATTTTTTGATTCTTATCTACCCAGTACCTTAACAGAAACTATGTTGGATCTATTTACTCCTTGTTCTTCAGCAATTTGAATGAAAAGTACTCATTTTAATCTGGAGATACATTGCGCACTATCTGAAAATAGATCTAAAACCAGTTATTAGGATTTGTAAGTAAATTCCGACTTACCTTTTTTGGAGAGAGCAGATAAACTCCATTGCAATTTTGTTTCCGTATTAATATTTTCTAGAAAAGATAAGGGTACAGGCATAAGCAGTGATAAATCATGTATTACCTTAGTTTTTAACTTTAAAGTATTAGTTGTGTTACTGGCATAGTGGCAGTAGTAAGAATAAACAAGAATAAAACAAATCAACTTGATCTGTCAACTTTTTAATAAATTCTAAAAGCATTGTTACATATATTCATAGGTTTTGTGATGAAAGTGCAGTTTATCAATGGCTGCTGGTAATGTTCTCTACATAATTATATATCCTGTGAGCTCAAGAAGAGTTTTTAGAGCTGCTCAGTATAAAGTCAGGTTTCTCCTGAATAAATGAAGGCCAGAGGTCTTAATGTGTTCATCAGTGCACTCAGTTTTTAAGCTCAACTGCTTGTCAAGACCTACAGCGAAAGCAGGCACACAATTCCTGCTACTTGAAAATTGTTTTTATTGGTGTTCTATTGTTTCTGGCTATAGTGTAGTACTGAAAGAGATCGATTTGGATCAGGTTGTATCAAATTAACACATTGAAGGACGATAGTATTTGCACTCAGGCTATAATTTTGCTACCAGATTACTCATTTATATCTAAAAAAGCCCCTTAAACCTGTCCTCTTTCCAATGTTTAACTGCAAATGATTAAGAAATCCTTTTTCACAGATTTGTGCACAGTACTGTTGTGTATTAAATCATTCAGACTGCTGGAATACAACTAACCTGTGTTGGTGTCCTGATTTTTATCATCATCATCATCATCACCATCATCATCATTGTGATCATCTTCATCATTATCATTTTCACTAGCTGCTAAAGCTTGGCTCTCTTGGGAGTACTGTAAACAAGGATTGTTAAGTATTTCCCTCCATATTTCAAAGCATCTCATCTGAAGTGGATCTGAGCACTTGCACTCTCCCAGCACTGTTTTCCTTAGTTCTTTCCACAATGACAGACACTCTTGGTTGACCAACGGGAGCTTGCATTTCACTTTATTGGCCTGGCACGCTCTCTGGAAGCTCTCATACACTAGGAAACAGTAAGGGTCCTCTTGACAGTGTGGTTTTGCAATACTGCAGTCGTTCTCTAATTCTTCTGGGTGTCTTTGGTCTTTGGGGTTTCCGTGTTGCCTAAAACTCAGTTCAGTGTCTGATCTTGAGGAAGGTTCCAAATGTTCTGTGCAAACAGATACAAACAGAAGTATAAATCAAATGGAAGATGGACCATCATCACTGGTCAGCTCAAAACAAACTCAAGAAGAGGCTGATTGTCCTAATGCAAGAAAATGAATGAAACAGACCTAGTTTCATTCTGAGCTGTATGTAAATACATAATACACTCAGAGTCTTGCAGACTAATGAGTCTTCCTCTTGCTTACTGTGTCCTGGTAGCTGTGTAATACAGTCTACTTTAACATTTTGGCTGATAGCAGAAACACCAGAAGCCCTCACTAAAATTACTGCATAACAGGATTAATCTCACATAAATTTAACCATCTACAGATTGGACATATCATGGATTATATTCTTAATTCAATGCATAATTTCTAAAGAAGGAATGGTAATTCCAGAATTCTTTACCTAAAATAGTCATTTAAGGCAGACACTCCCTGACACTTCACCATAAGCCATCATCTGTAGGTGAAACCAATACTAATATAACTCCATCCAACCTTTTTGCTATGCTGGTGAGAGCTGTAATCTCAATCAGCCAAAAAGACAAAATTATTTCATTTTGCCTGAAGCAAAAGCAACTGTTCCAGTGACATCACCATCAGGTTTTAGATACCCACTTTTCTTGTTTGGTACAAGGAGTAACAGAAGAGGATGTTTTTATTTCCTCTGCAATAATGCCATATATTCTACTACTTTATGATGTACGCTGATTCATGCCAGCAGCAAGTGATGGATCAGAGCCAGGAATCAACCTTGGGGCTCATTTCCCAGGCTCTCATTCACTAGATGATTTTACCTCTCTTATGTCAGTTTTGCTAATTGTTACTCCAGGAGACACTGGATCAGAAACTGCAAGCCTTTTGTGCACCAAGTAATTCTCAATTATAAAGACAGGCTTTCTGAAGGAAAAAGAGTTTTTGTAATAATAAAAAATTAATTTAAAGGAGCTGAGCCCGTTGATTACAATGAAATTTCAAAAAGGATGTATTTTATATATTATGTACAGCTTTATGAATATAGTGACTGTGTTTCCCACATCCATTAATATCTTCCAGGTGTAATGAAGCTGCTCCTGTACCACAATGTGACACTACCACACAGTTGTACATTTTCATTCACTTACATTCCAATTCACACAGTGGCTGGATGTCTCTCTCTATGAATGACATAGATCCAGTGGTATTCAAGCCTCCTTGGGCAACAGGTAGCCCTCAGCACACATCATATTTTCTCTCCTGTTTTCCACTGGCTTAAGCAAGAGCTTTAGAAACCATTTGAATGGTGATTTTATTGGTTCTGTTTATTTTAAAATAGATATGGCACTGTTTTTTATGCATGTTGGAGTGTGAATATCATAGAAAAGACAAAAAAAAATTTTGAGGAATTATCAGTTTTTTGAAATATGCAAAGAAACTTAAACTTAGCTAAAATGAGGGTTACAAAATTATATATTATTTTTGCTCTTCATAATTGAAAATGTATGTTTAGTTACCTTTTTTAATGCTGCACTCCTTTCCCAAGCAAAGTAACGATGCTACAGAAATAATCTGTAGTGCAGACACAGTTTTTAAATTCTGGGTATTTGTCAGCCAGGACCTGGATGATTCTATTACATCCAATAGCATCTTCTGCCTTGCATCTATTACCTAGAACTCACCATTAAAATTATAAAGTTGTTAATGTCTATGAACGCTTAAGGGATACAGTTATACAAAACAATTCAATTGAAGCACAAAAATAACATGTTTTGCCAAGAGAAGATGGTTTGAACTCAGTTTTGTTTGAAAACCTGTCATAGTTTACAAATTTTAAATAATATTCCGAGTGATATAATAAAGCTGTAGGTACTACCTTGCCTTCTTTTATTTGATCTGACCCATTGCCAGAATCTCTGTTTCTGTTCCCGTTGTCAAAGTACATAAAAACTTAAACTTTTATACTAGGTAGATGAAGTACACAGTTCAAACCAAAAATGTGCATATGAGTGGAGGAGCACATCCTGAATAGAGACACTGAGACACTCATCTTGGTGCTGGGTAGAAATGAGGTGGCTGGTACAGGGATGGGAATTCACAGCACAGGCTGAGGTACTGCCACGTAACAGAGTAAGAGAGAGGCCGTGGGAGAGTAGGCACAGTCCTGTGGTAATGATGATGCTAAACCAATGCTGAGGGATGGCAGCTCTGGTTCAGATCCCTCACTCACATGAGGATGGCACAAGCCCACAAATGCCTGGCCATTTGGATGTGCCCTTGGACTGCTATCCTATAGCACAATTTCACTGCCTAAGTTTGTCAATGGCAACAACTTTAAAGTAGTTCAAGAATATTTTGATTTTTTTTTAATAATAAAAAATAAGGAAGAAATTAACATTAAAAACAAATATGCAGAAGTTTTAGTTTGCCAGTCCAGTTTCAAGCCCATGGCTTGCATGATCATTTGAACTCAATGACAAAGACACTCACACAGGCTGCCAGGTCATATTTTCCTTGTATGAGTAGTAAAAATAAAAAGCATGTACTAGATTTGTGGTACAAAGGTGAATCAGTAAGCCCTCTACTTTGTGGACTAAAAGGTTTTAAAACTATTTCATTACTTATTATTGCTTAAGAAAGTTACGAGTAACTTAAGAAAGTTACATAAGAAGAAGCTTGATAACATTTAAAAAATTTTTATTTTGTGAAAGCCATGGTCTTCCTTGTCAAAACAGGCATGCAGGTCCCCAAATCAGCACATTTTCTCTCTTCGCCTCATAGATACCGAGTATCTCACAATATGTAGGCTAAGGAGCATGTGGCTCTCAAGATCCAGGCTGGTCAAGAGGCAGCACAAGGACCAGTTCTAATCTACTGAGCACACATGCTGTTGCCTCTGCTCTGTCAGTGTGGATGTCTGGCTTCCTGCCTTGCTGCTTCCCCAGTGACAAGCATGGAGCAGCAGAGATCGTGCGCTCTCGTCAAACTGCAAAGCTAGCAGCCACGTGTCACCGCTGCCATGAACAAGATTTGATGTGGTTAGCTCTTTAAATATCATTTATCTATTATTGCCATAAATAGCAGCAAAAAGCAGTCTAGGCGAAGACCTGCAAGAGGATTTTGCCTGTGCCTGAAGAAATGAGTATGTTCTAAAGTGCACATCCCCAACCACCTCAATGTCCTTTTACAAACAATGTCTGCATTACCCTTTCTCCAGTTGCTGTTGCTGACTAAAGAGGGTTTGGGGGGATGTATTAAAATGTGCACTGCTTACAGGGGAGTGTTGCAGTCCAGCAAGTGCTACAGTTCTTCACCTCTTGCAACAGCAAAGGAGGACGTGATGGTGCCCAAGCTTAGCTGTATCTCTCCAACGACATCACCAACTTGCCTTCTGCATTTTTAGAAGCAAAGCTTGACCTTGACCCTTAGCCCTCACATTTCTTTTTTTTTTTTTTCCAGTAGCCAAGGAACTCAGGAGATCTACTGAAGGTCATAGACATAGGATACTCTCTGATCATAAAGATATGGTGGAAAGTATGTGGTGACATGGGTGACATAAAGGCCCATAGGTGGGTGGGTGGATATTTTACTCTGTATTTTATCAAGTGGGTAAGGGATAATAAAAGAATTTCAGGAGGCAATTTCAGGAAGACAAATTCCAGGAGTAGAAAAAGAGAAACAAATATCAAAAGAGGCTTGTGTAAAAATTAGCTAACTTACAAAATTCATTATTATCTTCTTCAAGGTCTTGAGGACAGTTCAAGGCAGCAGGTTAGTAGAGGTAGGAGAATAAAAAATATAAATCCCAGTCTATTTCATGCAGCGCCTTAGCTTTACTTAGCTCATCTGTCTTCATGATGCAAACAAGTTATGGTTTGGAGTCAGGTGCAGTGGCTGTGCTCAGAGTGACCCTATGTGCAGTGACCACACTGTGCTGAATCACAGCAGCTGGCGACCAGTGGATGAGAGGTTGGTTGTAGGGCTATGAATGCACAAAGAGTGTAGACAGAATCAGGAAGCACATCAGATTTATGGGGTTCCCTTGCCTGGCCTCTTGAAAGCTGTGTAGAAATAACCTATTATCAGCATTGGTCTGTTTGTACACTGTGTTGATTCAGCTGTGATGAACAGCAGAAAATATTTTATTGCTGGATTTCAATTATTGTTGCTTTACCATTGATTAGTTCTAAGTAATATATTTTAGCTTATACATATACTCCCAAGGCATTTACAAAAAATGCTCTCTGACCTAATTCTTGTCAGCCATTACTTATAATTTTATTTATATGTACATGGGACCCCAGATAGAAGCATGACAGAGAAGAAGCTGACACTGCCAGGGTGATAATCTCTGTTCTTGCACATTCAGCTCTTCACTCATCTCAGTGGGAATTGCATTTGAAGACTGCAGAAGAAAGTACTGAGATTTCCCCTCTAGCACTGATGAGACCACATCTGGAGAGTTATGTCCAGTGCTGGGCTCATGAGGACAAGAGGGACATGAGCATACTGGAGTGACTCCTGCAAAGTGCCACAGATGTAACTAATGGACTGGAGCATCGGTCCAATGAGGAGAGGCTGAAAGAGATGAGATTGCTCAGCCTGGAGGAGAAAAAGCTTAGAGGGTACCAGTATACATATCTGTGTGTATAAATACCTGATGGGAGGGAAGTGAGTAAGGCAGGAACAGACTCCTCGGGTTACAGCCTGAGGGACTGAGTTATTGAACTCCTACTACAGAGCAGGAGTGTAATTATCGTTTGTAGTTAGGTTTTCCATAAAGAAGCTAGCAAAAGGAATATTTGTCCCATTGCTTATTGCCTCCAACTAACACAATCATGCGCAGCACTGAAGGACCTTTTCCATTCCTACAGCTCATCCATGAAGTTTTTAGTCTTGCACATATAGAGTACTCTTGACAGGCAGTATAATGCTACTCTTACCAAAAATGCTTTGGGTAGATTTTTCTGTCTCTGGGCTCTCTGGGAAGTACCATCAGCTGGCTGACTGTGGTTTTACATTCTCTGGGGTCATGGCACCTAATAAACACATTTAGAATAATTTGTCCTAGACCTAACACAATATCTGAGTGCCCTGCAATGCTGAAGAGTCCTTGCCAAGGCTATTATCCTAAGGAAATAGACAGATGCAAAAACAAGCAAGCAATCACAATAAGAATTTATTTTCAGAAGGTTTCTCTGACCCAGTTGCAAATACCATTAATATCAGTGAATAAGCACATAGGACAATAAGTGATGGAAATGGCATACTATGAGACAATACAATAAATCAATATACAATAAATCCACAGAAGTCATAATGCCAATTCTTAGGGTTGCAGGGTACGATGAAGAATAGGCTACAGTACAAATCCTGATCTTTATGTCAAGCAGTCTTGCTGCTAATGCCTTTGTTAATGATGTGGGAGAAGCAACTTATTCTAATTTGGGGAAGAGGTTTCGTTCTAGCAAACTCATCTTTAGGTAACTGTCTTAAGCCTGAAAGTACTGCATATTCTAATCTTTTTTTTTTTCCCAAACAGCGAACGTATCTTTTGAAACTGTTCCACTTCACATAAAATGTTTAAAAACTCAATAGAACATGAGTTGAAACCCAGTTCCTTTGTGGACTGTTGTAACCATTAGGTTATCATGTATTTTTCATGTAGTCTGTTCTTAAAAGTATTCAGCCATTCTACGCAAAGCAGATACATATCTGGAACAGGACACACTGAGGACCCCTCAGAGAATTTTCTGCTCTAGTACTTTCAATTACTGCTTTGTAACTTGGGACAATTGGCTTCAAATCTTTGCAACAAATCAGACAAACAGAGGCATTCAGGTAGCTCACACTGCAGGTGAATGTTCTAGCCATTAATAAGCTATTGACCATGAAGTCATGCAGCATCTTCTGCTGCCTGGCTTGCCACACAGACAAAATGTGAGACTGGGTCTTGGCATCAAGACAGGCAGAGGGACATTCACTTTATCAACTCTGCTGCAGTTGAGGCTCAGAACAGATTATGGGATAAGGACATTGCTGTTTTTTTTTTTTCAAATAATGTCATTATAAGGTGAAGAGAGGTTTCCATGGAGATATAGATACCTCTGATTCCCAGTGATGGAGAACATGCCTTACGGAATTAAGTTGCTAGCAAAGGCAGTTAAGTACCTAAAAACCCTTGGCCGCATTTATGAACAGAACAAAGGCATGGGCTAGTCTAATGGTAAGTGTCTGTGTCTATACTGCTGCACTTTTGCATGGACCAAGCCAGCTAGACTGTGAAGATAGTGTGGGCCTGGAGTCACTCCCAAAAGGCAGTTTTGTGGAGCCAGTGTCAGGGTAAGACAGTTTAGCTGTATGGATACATGCTGCCTCTTGACAGTTGCACTCAGGACCAGAAAATAGTCGTTGACCCATTTTATTTGCTAGTACTGATGTAGCCTTGGCAAATCAAGGCCCTTGACATTTAGCAGTCAACAAAGGTGTCATTACTGGCTAGATCTAATGACGCTACCACACTTGCACTGCCACTCTATTTCTCCCTTCCATATTCACAGCACCTGGCAAATGAATACACAACATTTAACAAGTCCTTGGAGGGATTCTGTCCTGGTTTGAGCTAATAGAACTGATTTCCTATTTAGTGATTTTACTTTTCAGGTCAGTCG